CCAACCAACCAAAAAAAAAAAAAGTATAATCTGAGGTAAGGAAAATGCGATCTGAAGTTATTTAAGAGCGTATCTGAAACAAATATTATTGTCTTTGTACGATATTTCTCTACGTTTCTTATGAAATTCTGTAATTTTCCAAGTTTAATTGGTGCCCTTTTTGTTTTAGGCTTGCCAACCAGTATGTGCTGCTTGCATAATTTTATTCTCAGATGAAAACTCTGTTAGGATTTAGATCTTCTATTGTTTAAAAAAAAACGGTGAGCAATACTTTTAAACCGTAAACATCTATGTACTTGGATTATTCTTATGGGTAAAAACACCCCGGTCACTGCCTCATAAAAAGAAAGGATCGCGTGAATTCAATTCTTTTTCTTTCTTTTCTTTTTTACACATTTTGTTAAGTTTATTGACAAATTAACAATGCATGGGACTTCTCATTAAAAATAAAACAATGCATAGAACTATTTTGCACGTACTAAAGACACTGAACATACGTGCTATCGTTGCACACAAAGATCGCAACTAAGCTTAACATAATTTTTAGTAACTGCTTGTTGATCACTTGTTCTTATTACTTGGTAACAGGAAAAAGAAAATCCAAGATAATCCAATACATAACAGGAAAATTAATTGGATTCCTGCACATGTAACGCTCAGTATTCACAGATTAAAATCCATAGAAACAAGTTAAACAAAAACCTCGATGACGCGATCTGAGTCCAGAAACTTGACTCAATATTTCACCTCGTAACTAAGGTTTTGTGAAGGAAACTGAGAGGAGCTCCACTTCTTTTACAAGTTCATCTCATTGGAGTATAACATACAAAGGCAACACATAAACAAGATACCATCATCATTAACTAATTGCCAAATATTACGTATAAGAGAGTCGGAAATCCTAGACCTTCCAGGTCTTGAATAAAATTATCTCTAAGTTCAAGTCGTGTATATCTCGATCTTGTATAAGATTATCAATACGTTCAAGTTGCATATCGATCAGATTCATCCATAACTACTGAAATCTGTGTGCCTCTCCCTTCAGTATCACTTGAAGATGAGTCCTTAACATTGTCACCAGCTATCTCATTACAATGAATTACATGCCAAGTTGGTCGTTCTTGTTGAAACATCCTTTTATAAAATGAAGAATAGAAAGTAAATCATGTGAAATGATAGATATTAACTTGAATATATCTAGGACTCAAAACATAATGAGGATGTGAAATCTTACGGATGCTTGCAGAGCATTGGACATTGAATTGTAACCACATATTTGCAGGTAGATATCTCCTTGATTGAACTAATTATTACTGTGGGTTCT